TTTTCTGTATGTCTTGCGATCGTTGATGATCTCCTGTTTCTTAGCCCTTTTGTCCCAAGCCTCTGGCGTTTTGGTCTTGCCACCCTTGGTACGTATTATCATGCCAGTTTCGTCCCTTTTGGTGCAGTATTCCTTAGAATACCAGTGGCGGATCACGTCCATCGAGTAGCCGGGGTACCAATTGATGTACCACTCCGGCACGTACTGAGCGGATACACCAACGGAGTGCTCCGTACTGTACGGGTAGCCCGATGCATCATGTGTAGGGCGTCGGGGAGCTGAACGGCTCCTCCTGCGGGCTGGCCCCGCTGACGCACTACCACGTTCCATGGGCCTTTGATCGTCATGCTCTGAGTCTCGGGGAGGCGATGGTCGTCTGTCCCTCTTGGCATAGCGCATGTCCTCCGAGTCCTCTGAGCTGTCCTGGACCATGAATACGTGCTGATACGGGCTTCGGAAGTACCCGATGTCGTTTAGCTGCTCCATCGTGAGGTCGTTGAGGTCCATCTGGTCGCAGCCCTGCATAAATACATCCATAGACCAAGCGGGTGGCCCCGCTGCTGCGGCTGGCGTCACTTCGGCGGGTGACCCCGCTAGAGCCTGGAGTGCTGTCAGCATCTGAGGTGCCGACATGTCCGAATCCAGGTATGGACGCAGCCGTGCGGCCCCTGGGCGCGACAGCAGGTCGTTCATGGTTATCTGCTGATGTGCTGGCGCACTCAGGAGCCGGATTGCTTCTGCGACCTGCTCTTGGAGCATGTCCTTATAGTCCTCTTCGGCCTCTTCGGAGTCAGAATACGCGGGATGGCCCCGCATTTCGTCATCAGCGTCTCCCGCTTCCGAGCCAGCTCGCGGAAGATCTGGCAGCAACGGCATGCCAATCACCTGCGGTGCCAGCGCGGCGGTGAGCTCTTCCTCGGTCGCCGGGACGGTCTCAGCTTCGGAGATCTCGTCGTCGGCGGGTGGCCCCGCTGGAAGACCGAACCAAGCATTGAACGCGACCTCGTCGACTTCGTCCCAGCCGTGGAACTCGTCGAAGAGGGTCACTGCGTAGTCTTCCAGGGCTACGGTCACTTCAGCGTAGCGGGCCATCACGTAGTATGTGGAGGAGCCCGCGGCGGGAGCCGCTTCTGGGTTGACGTAAAACTCGTAGTCAATGTAGTCTATGTCATCCATAAAAGAATTTTGAGCCAAATGTACGGATCCCTTTCCTTTCCCTTTCGGGCATTGATCGCGCAAGTGCTCTGTGCTGCCGCATGTATGACACTTCATAGTATTGCCAGAAGCGCCCCTAGGGTTGCCCCTCCGCCCTTTTCCCTTACCGGAGGTCCGCCTGTGACCCCGACCTTTGCCTCCGATAAGAACTTCCTCAAAGACTATATCAGTTAAGGACGTGAGGAAAGCAGTAATACCCCTACCATGCATACGGCGTCTGCGACCCCCTTTGCCACGACCCTTTCCATATCGTTTGAAATGTCGGCGTACTGCACGTCTCACTTTTCTGACTGGTTTCTTCATAAAGCGCCTCCAACGGCGTTTTGATTTGCGATAAGCCATAAAAGCGGCTTCCGCTCTTTGTTGTTCAGAAAGGTGAGTGTCATCCGCTGGATAGTCATTACCAGCAGAGACTATGCCATTGTGCTCATCGTCAGATGAGGTGTCTGTGTCAGTGCCAGATTCAAACGGTGAGGGTGGCTGAGACCCTTGAGCGGATGACTCCGCTTGGCCCCAGAGGGTTGTGCCCGAGGGCGGGCTTGCAGTGTAGGCGGCGCCTGGCGAGTAGTTCGACCAGGCGTTCGCCTCAGCTGCCTCTGCCGATGCCTGGCCGGTCTGCCCTAAGAAGGCAGTGGCCTCGTTGGGCATATCGGCTGGGTCAGCCCAGGGACTTGGCTCGCCAGGACCAGCGGGTGACCCCGCAGTCGTGGCGTAGACACCTGCATGTGAGTGGTGCCCTGTGAAGATACCCGCAATGTTGCCAGGAGAGCGCTCGGCAACATGTCCGTAGTTCCTCATCCTGGTCAGCAGCCTGTCATAGTCTGCTTGTGTTCTGGGCATCTGATGATTAAAAGGCTCCAGCAGGTGTTGGGCTCGTGACGCGCCAACGCCTAACGCTCTGAAAAGAATCAGCGTTAGGATCTGAAAGTTGGGGATGACAAAGCCAACAGAGTTAGCCTCGTCACGGGCCATCTCGAATCGAGCTAACACTGAGTCGATTCGCTCGCCCCTTTCGACGCGAAAGTCGATAAGGGCAGTGCCAGAGTTGAGCTGGCGCTCATCTTCCAGATTTTCAAATTTGGTGCTCAGTAGGTACAGTATATATGTGACTGCATCCGTTGGCTGTCCATTGACAGTTACACCATAGTTGATGATCTGGGAGGGGACCTGCATGGCGATACGACGAGCAAGACCTTGAAGGCCTCGTTGTAGTGCTGCAGCTTGTTGTGGTGGCGTCATATTGCCGCTCGTTACGTTTATCCATGCATGTACTTCGCGAACGTATTCGCGAAAAGGCGTAGTACCGGCAGGGTCCCATGAAGGGCCAGTAGTACGCGTGTCGTCCATCCCCTGCCGCATGTATCCCACAGCACATCCCATTATTACCCACAGAATGCCGAAGATAGTTATCTTAATCCAGTGCATGTGCATTTCGGCTTCGGTGATTGGTTTAGGCTGTGGTTTGTCAGGCTCTGGCGTAGTAGCCGTGAGGCGCCTGACTGGCACGGGATGCAGGTGGCCCCGCTGCGGGTAGCCCCGCAGGGTGACCACGTTCTCGATCGAGTTGCCGATTGGCATCTGGTGGAAGTCGAGAGTGAAGTAGCGCAGTGAAGTAGGAGAGAGCGTCTCGAGTTCGCGGGTTGCCCCGCTAGCTCGATCGCGGACTGGCTCCGCTCCTCGCAGAGCCGGCGCAACATGGTATTCCACCGTAGTAGTAGTCCACCAAGTTGTGCCGTGGATTACAGGAATCAGAGCGAGAGCCAGCCACACGAGAGTGTAGCCAGCTCCGCTACCAAGTCGAAAACATGCTGGTAAGCTTAGGTATGTGTTACGCTTCAAGCGTTGCCATATCCCAGGCTTTGGCTCATATCGCATGAGCAAGAGAGCGAGACGAAGCATGGGATCTGGAGTAAAGGATAGAAGAGGCATCTTCAATGGAAAAAGTATTTTCCGATCTCAGATACCAGTCGTGCGCCTCGGTGAGGCACAGTCATATATTTGGCCGGGCCCGGCTTGAACCAGGCACGGCAGCGGTACATGCTCGATTTATACCTCGCCTTTAACCTTCTCCGTTTAAAGTCTGGGAGCACGAAGAACACGAAGTGGCTTACAATTGGCTCCAGGTATTCAACATGTGGCCTGGGAACGGTGTTCTGGGAACACGAAGAACACGAAGTGGCCTACAGTTGGCTCCAGGCATTCAAAATGTGGCCTGGGAATGGTGGTCTGGGAACACGAAGAACACGAAGTGGCCTACAATTGGCTCCGGGCATTCAGAATGTGGCCAGGGAGTGGTGTTCTGGGAACACGAAGAACACGAAGTGGCCTACAGTTGGCTCCGGGCATTCAGAATGTGGCCTGGAACTTGTGTTCTGGGCAGTCCCCGGATCCTCCCCGGCACCCGCCCAAAACCACCTGGGGAGTCCCGGGGAGTCCCTGGATTCGCCCCGGCATCCGCCCAGAACCCCCTGGGGAGTCAAGATGCTCTCTTTTGAGCCCACTAGAAACCTATCAGTCTTCGCTGTCAGGTAAAACCCAGCGGCCGCCCAGACGGCCCAAGGGGGCCCTGAGTGGCCGAAACATCGCTCCAAGACACTCAATATGTTCCTCAAACGGCTCGAGAAACCTCCAAAGTACCCTCCCGACACCTCCTAAGAGTGCCCAAAGACGGAACGTCTTGCCCATTCCCGTAGGTAAACGTATATTTTTGGCATTGTCGCGTCTTCGGCCGTCGCTGTGCCCAACACGGCCCAAGAGACCCTCAAAACAGGCCCAGATGCTCTCAAGAGGGCCCCAAGTCGGCCCAAGAAGGGCCCAAGACGGCCAAGGAGGCCCCCAAGACAGCCCAAGCGGGCCCCAGGACGTGCCCAAGAAGCGCCCAAGAGGGTCCCATGACGGCCCCAGAAGGGCCCAAGACGGCCCAAGAGGCGCCCAGGAGGCACCAAAATGGCTTTAGGAGTCCCCAAGAAACCCCGAGAGGCTCCAAGTGGCCCTCAAGAGGCCCCACAAAGGCACCCAAAAGCGCTCCCAATAGGTTAAACATTACTTCCTACACACCCCCAGGAGGCCTCCAGGATACCTCCTGCATGCCCCCCAAGAAGCCCCAAAAGGCCCACAAGAGGCTCAACAATCACCTCCAAGACGGCCCCCCAGGAAGCCTCGAAGATGCGTCGCAGAGGCCCCTCAAGAAGCCCACGCAATGCCTCCAAGCTGTTTCCAAACCACTCACGTTTGAACAAGCGCGCTGGGGCGAAAGCGTCCTTGTGACAGCGGGATCGTCCCGGATCGGCGGCACCGGCTGGAGGCCTCTACAATCTCAGGTTGGTCGGTCGGTGCCTTTGGTTTGGACTGCCGAGAGGTGGGTCTCCAAGGACCAGCCTCGGTAGTCTCCCTTGCCACCCGCACTGTTTTTGCGGCCTCATTGCTTCTGCAGTGACGGTGCTTCTGAGACCAACGGGAGATCAACAGGAGGGGTACCAGCGTAGGGCACTGAGAAACAAAAAAGAAGGGAGGGCGTGCGACAGGATGGGAGGACGGGTAGGGAAGAGGGAAAATTAGAAGAGGGCGTGCGAGGGCAGAAGGGGGGGAAGGGAAAGAAGGAGGGTGTGGGAGGGGAGAAGAGAGGAGAGGGTGCGCGGGGGAAGAGAAGAAGGGTAGGGGAGGGCGTGCGAGGGAGTAGGGGGGTGGGGGGAGGGCAAGAGTGGGCGACCACACTGTTTCTGAAAACGACCATACCCCCCGCCCCCCGCCCTCCCCCCCCCGCCCTTAACCCCAGTCTCGGAAATTTCCGTCACGCGAGCGAACGCATAAATGTTACATCAGGCACATAAGATACGACATATTGCTTTAATCGGGCTACATGAAAGGCTGATCCTGCGTCGACTCTGCGCTTTGTGAGGTACCCGACGTAAGAAATGTTCGTGGAGCATCCGCGGGCAGGCAAGCTTCTACTTCGGCGCGCCTGCTGCATAGCCAGTCCGTAGGAAAGGCCAAGCAAGATCACGACCCCATGCGGGCGCCAGGGCAATGGTGTTCATGGGGCGTTGGGGAGCACGCGCACGCGTGGCCCGCCCCGCACGACATTCTTTAACAGGGAAGGTGCCCGTTCAGCGCGCGCGCGCGCCCCGCACAGTATCATCAAGCAGTGAGATCAAGAGCGAGGCGGGAGGGCAGGGGAGAGGAGGGGGTAAAAGGGAGAGTAGGAGAGGAGGAGTGATATGCAGAGATGGCAGAAGCGGCGGGGCGAGAGGAGGGGGACGAGGATGGAGGCGGAGGAGGAACAGGACAACGAGGACAACGAGGATGGAGGGGGGCAAGGACGAGTGGGGGGCGAGGATGACGATGACCACCGTACGGCTTCGGAAGGGTTCAATTTCGCGAGTGACGACTCGAACGAGGACGACGCAGAGGAGGAGGCCCAGCGTACACCCACGACGCATCGACGATGTTACAGACTACGATGTTCAGAGGTCTCTACAATAATGTATGCTCACTGCAGGAAATGCCCCATTGGAATACAACCAACTGAGAACCTTCAATCGTGCCACGACATCACTCCTGCAAATTCAGTGCCGCGAATCAACATGACCGTGGCGTGCTGGCTAGCCCAAATCGTGCCAGAACACCGTCCCTGGGTTTTGCAGTCCCAAATCGTGCCAGGGCACCCGTCCTGGGGCGTCGACAATACGAATTCTTGAATCTGCTGCTAACTTTCGCAGCGATTGTGAGCGGCGCTGGGGCGGGAGCCACATTTTGCAAAGGATCCGCCCTTCCTCCGTTAACCTCTTGAAAACGTTCAGAACCAAACTGTGCGGTGCTAAAGCGAGAGCCAAACATTGAAAGCCACTCGCCCTCCATCTGTGAAGCTCGTGCAAGCTTTGAGGACGAATGTGCGCGGCGCTGGGACTGGAACCACATTTTGAAAACCACCCGCGCTCCACCCTTACACATGTCATAAATGTCACGCTTCAGGATCCTGGCCTGGCCCGCCCTACTGGCACGTCTGGGGTGCGACAGAAAGGCCTTAGCTACATAGGGAATAAGGATGAAGGAGGACCAGTGACAATTCTGTTATCTCTCCAGGGTAGCAGCCGTTACCCGGGGGGGAGGGGGGGGAAGGCGAGAGGGTAATTAACAGTTACGGCGGCGTGCCCCCGCCAAGGTGCATCCGCGCCACCAGCGCATCAACTGCATGTGTACACGACAATGCCCAATACCTGCGTGCAACACAGCGCCACCTGTGTACACATCACAATGCCTCCGTACACCACTACAGCCACGTGCACTGCAGCACCACGTCGCCCATGCACACCGCAGTGCCTGTGTATACTGCAACAACCGTTGATGATAATAGGATCCTACAATCAACCATTGTTTATTATAGGATTATGTAAGGAAGCCCTATGGAAAACGGAACGCTTCTGGATTCCACACGACCCAATTTTTATATAGCATTTGAAAAAATCGCTACGGAAAGCGGAACGCCTCTGGATTCTACAGAAAGTCCTTTGTTTGATAAAGAAATCCCTCTGGAAATTCGCCGGCCCAACGGGCCAGGGCGTGCTAAGATCTCCGGTACCTGGTTAACAGTATTTCTAGTTCGCGCGCGCGGGGCGGCCCCTGGGGGTCCCCGGACGAAAAGTACCCCGGCAAGGTCCCGGCAAGTCCCCGGCAAGGTCCCGGCAAGTCCCCGGCAAGGTCCCGGCAAGGTCGGGCCAGAGATGCCGGAGCCCTGTTACAGGGCCCCAGGACGGGCCAAGAGGTCCCCAAGAAGCCTCCAAGACGGTCCAAGAGGGCCCCGAGACGGCCAAAGATCGCCCGAAGACGCCCAACAGGGCCCCAAGACAGCCCAAGAGGCCTCCAAGACGCCCCAAGGGCCTTCCAAGAGGCCTCCGAAGAGGGCCCCAAGAGGCCCAAATCGTTGATTTTCATTGTTTTTTCGTGTTTTTTGCGTTCTGGCTTTTTCGGCTTCCGGACGCTCCAAGACGGCCCAAGAGGCCCCCAAGACCGCTCCAAGACGGCCCACGAGGCTCCCAAGACGGCCCCGGAACGGCCCAGGAGGGCCCCCAAGACGGCCCAAGTGCCGCCCAAGACGGACCAAGAGGCCCCAAGACGGGCCCAAGAGGGGCTCAAGAGGGGAACCGAGAACTGAAAAATCGAGCCCTCCGCCCCAGAAGGCGCCCAGGAGGCCCCAAAAAGGCCCCAAGAGGCCCCCAAGAGGCCCCCAAGACGCCCCAAGAGGCGCCCAAGAGGCCCAAAAGAGGCCCCAAGAGGCCCAAAAACGGCCCCCAAGAGGCCCCAAAACTCGGCTAGCCCACAACGGTGCGACAATATGGGCCGGCGGAATGAGCGAAGCGATTAAATTAAGGCGCATCTGGATGCCACAAAGAACGAAACTTATATACACACGGCTTGAACGGATCCCTATGAAAACTGGAGCGCCGGAATATTCTACACGCGTGCACCACAAAGCCTGCGTACACCACAACGCTTGTGTACACCACAGCAGCCGCGTGCAACACAGCGTCGGTGTACACCACAGTGCTGTGTGCACCACAGCGCTTGCGTACACCACAACGCCTGTACACCGCAGCAGCCGTGTGCAACGCAGTGCGAGTGTGCACCACGCCGCCTGCGTGAACCACAGCGCCTGCGCACACCACACCGCCCGCAGGAGAAGGCGCGGGGCCGCTCAGTCTTCATTTTCTCCATGGCGCTGGGTCTACAATCGGTACGTGCATAATGGACGGGTGGTAAGGACGCAAGACCCTTGAAAGCCGAAGTTTGGATTGTTTTGCAAAAGCTGGCCAACGAAAGCGGTGAAGGACAGGCCGCAGAGGCAAGGACACAAGGGCACCGTGGAGAAGGCGAGCGTCCTTATCAGGCGCGTTGGCTGCATCGCGCTGCAACCGAGCACAGGCCAGAGGGAAGAGAGAGAGCCACCGCAGTCTGCACTTGCGGACGAATTCGTCGAAACAGCCTGCGGTAATGAACCATCGCCAGCTGCATTGGACGACGACGACGAAAACAACGAAGACGACGACGACGACTGACGACCGACGACCGACGACCGACGACTGACGACCGACGACGACGAAGACGAGGACGAGGACGAGGACGAGGACGAGGATGAGGACGAGGACGACGACGAGGACGACGACGACGACGACGACGACGACTGCGAGCGCCACAACACGTCTGTGAGCACCAATGCGTGCCGTTCAAACCACGATGCCTTCTTTTTTTTAAACCACCATGCCATGCCTGTAAGCACAGCGCCGTACCGGCGGGGGGTCCGCTCCCAGCATGTAGGGGGGGGGGGCAGGCCCCCCTGCCCCACGGCACGATCGTTAGCGTTACATGGGGGGGAGGGTTGGCCTGGGTAGCGAGCGTTACGCCGGAGAGAAACAAAAAAACGCTCACCCAAGATGACGATGATGATGATGACGAGGATGCCGACTGGGAGGGCGACGATCGCTGTTGGGAACGAAGAGGAGCCCCACCCGCCGCCAGCCCGTAGCAGCGGCGCGCGCCCCAAGGAGCGGCGGCGCGGCGCGGGACCACCCTCGTGGCGCGCCTCCACGCCGCCCGAGAAGCTCCAAAACCTGGCGCAGGAAGACAGAGGGTCCGCGGCTCCAGTGGTGATCTTCGGCGATGCTGCACTTTCTTGCAACGCCATCGGTTGCACGCAAGGGTGACCCTGGGCAAGAGTGACCTTTGGTGCGCGGCCGAAGGGTGGGTCCTTTCGGGGACACCGCCAGGCGCGTAAGCCGTAGCTACAGTATCACATTCAGCGATCGGGAGGCCCCGTTGGGCCCGGACTAAAAGGTCACTCCAGCGAAAGGTCACTCTTACGTGTAATTAGTCGACGTCGGATCTGAGGGGAACGGGAGAGCTACAGTCAGGCGCCCGTGCTTGGGGTGTCGCGGCGGCGGTCCCAGCGGCACGCTATGGGTCGTGCCGCCCCGCCTCGCGTGGCGCGAGGCTGGGAATAGCTCGGCAGGCTGCCGCATGGGGACAAGGACGTGGTTAGCGTGTCCCTCGCTGCCCTTCGTGGCCCCGTTACGGCCCTTCGTGGCCCCCTCGCTGCCCTTCCTGGTCCCATATGTGTATGCCCTTCGGGACCCCCGCTTGTTCGCGCCCGTCGTGGCCCCATACGCACGCGCTTCGTGGCCCCGCTGTCGCCCTTCGTGGCCCCCTCGCTGCCCTTCGTGGGCCAGAACTGTGACACCTCCGAGATGGGGTAGGAGTAGATGGGGTTCGGAGGATCGCACCGCATCGTCGATGCGCCGGCGATGCATCGGCGACGTCGGCGTGGAGAAAATTGGGCTCCACATCGAGCCACATCGCCGATGCATCGGCGATTCGGCGCGACTCTCCGACCCCATCTGCTCGGACCCCATCTGGGAGGCCTAAAGTGTCGGACCGAGGACGGGTAGGCCAGAACTGGTGACCCGACACTTTAAGCAACAGTTCCTGACCGCGTGCGCATGCACCTACCCTTTCCGGGCCGACTCTGGGCCCACAATCGGTGCACACGACCTCCCGACGTGGCTAGGGAGGCAGAAGATCCGATCCCGGGCCCAGGATGGGCCTGGCCCCGATCGGTGTACATGTTGGTTCTCTTCGCCCGACCTGGTCGGGTCGGACGGTAGAGTGGGGGTAGCAAGGGGGGGCTCAGCGAATCGGTCCTCGAAATTGTTTTTCGCCAGCGCCGCAGGCGCCCATGCATCGGGAGAAGCGCCCGGCGGCGGGGCTGAAAGCAGCTGCATGCAACGGATTTCGTACCCCCCCTTTCCCTAACCCGCCCTTTCGTCCGACCAGGTCCGTGGCGCCTCTCAGCGCCACCGAGACGGGTATAAAACGCCCAGTCGGCCCCAGAAAATTGCCGCTCCTAAGCGGCAAGGGTCCGTGGGAACAGTGGAGAGAGCCAGCCGGGCACGTGGCAGCCCTGCCAACCTGGAGGGGGACGGGGGCAGCAGATCGCATACGCTGCCAACGCATGGGCCCCGAAGAAATGACTCGTGTAAGGCATGCTGTGCAGCTGCAGCTAAGTGTGGAGGGCCGGCCACGGATGGTTTGCAACTGAAGGAGGCGCCGGGCGCAACCCATGCTGCGGCATCCATGGACGGCAACCCATGGTGCGCAACATACGGCCGACTGAGGAGGAGGAGGAGGAGGAGGAGTAGGAGGAGGTCGAGGAGGAGGAGGAGGTCGAGGAGAAGGAGGATGAGAAGGAGAAGGAGGAAACACTGAATCCAAACATGTTGGCGTCGCGTTCCGCCGCGCTCCGCCGATCCTTCGCCAGCCTTCCGCCGGCTGCCGCCCCCACGGAGAGAGACGCGCCGAAGGCGGGGCCATTTCCAGAACGCGCTGGCCAAGGTCCTCTGGGTGAGCCCGATGTCGATGATCCGTAGATGGCGTATGTTAGCGCCAACGCGTGTGTTGTCCACCGAGGCCCTTCAACACGACGCCGGCGGTGTGCTGAGGGCCGAAAACGCGGCGTGCCATCGGCAGAGGAGAGCGGGGCTAACACACCTTGGGCTCACACACGTCCTGAGGACTCTCTGAGTGTGGCCCTGTGCGTGAGACTCTATTGGTGGGACCCACTGGGTGGGACCCCATGGGCGTTACCCTATGCTACCGACCCGAAGTATGGCGTTGACAACTGGCCACCCCCGAAACTGCGACGAGTAAAGAAGAAGAAGAAGAGACATTATGTTCAAACAGCAGCTGTCGGGAGTCCGCGCGGATTGCTTGGAATGGCGCTTGATCCTCCTGGCGGCGCCTCTGGTGCCGCCCCTGGCGCGCTCCGCGCGCCAAGTGGGGGGTCCTGCGCCGATCAAAGAAATCCGCGAGGACATCCGAAAGTATATGTGTCTTCGTCGTTGGCAGAAACTCAAATTGTTTTGTCGACAAGAAGCAACTAGCACACGATCTGCGGAATCACCCAAGCAGACCCTCGATGAGCATCAAAACAACCCGAATGGCACTAAGACGGTCGACTTGACAGATTCCTTTGCTTCTGGAAGGCCTGCTTCCTGATGATCGGCCCCCTGCCCCTGAGAAAAGCGGGGCCACCACGCGACTAAGCCCTAACACTTCAAACAATCAGCCGAATGCCTGGCCAGGGAGCATCCGCGAGGACTGGAGCCAGCCAGCGAGGGCAACGGCGCAAGGGGGATGAGAAGGAGGAGGATGCGGACTGATCGAACAAGGACAAGAGATGCCCATCAATAAAAACTTGCCGCCCCGAAAACTCGCGGGGCTACGATGTCAGCAAGACTCCCAATCCAGCACCGTCCGTCGGAGGATCCCCGTGAATCCGCCTCCGTGACCGCGAATCCGCCATCGCAACAGGTACCTGTCTGCCCAAACCCCCGACGTCCTCAAATTTTCATCACGTGGACCCCAAGAGACCTCGACCCCTTCCCTGGTACAGGCTTTTCAACCTACGCCGATTTGATTGACGGTCCCGAAGCCTGGCAAGGGCCCCAGAAGCCGAGTCTCATGAATAATAACCCCCGTCCTGTTTTGTTCACGACGCGATGGTGTCTGGGCACTGCGCTTCTACATGGCTTTCGAACCCTCCTGTGTTGATTGGTCCTCGTCTTTCCTTATCGATAGGGGTGGAAAAAAACGCCCAGTCCGAGAGATTCCCCAACAGTATATTCCGAAATCGTGATCTCGCCAAAATGCCGGCTACATGTCTGGTCCGTATGACCATGATCCTTGTAAATTATCCTGGCGAGGTGCCCACCCCTGGGCAGCTGTGAATAATACCGCAAGGCGGGCGGGACGAAGGACGGGGAGCTTCCTATCGTGCCACGAAGCGTGTAATGGATATCCCGAAATGCCTGGGGACGCATGCCAGCCCTGCCACCAGGGCCTTCGGTGGAGCTCCGCATGGGGCCACGAAACACGTGAGAGGTGCCGACATGGGCCTTGGGACGCATGAGGGCCCTGCCGCTGGGGCCTTCGGTGGAGCTTCCCATGGAGCCACTATATGTGCGAGGGGTGTGCCGAGATGAGTCTGGGGACGCATGCGGGCCCTGCCGCTGTCGCCCTCGATGGAGCTCATTATGGCGCCAAAAACGTGTGATGGGTGTGCCGAAATAGGCCTGGGGATGCAGGCCCTGCCGCTGGGACCTTCGGTGGAGCTCCCTATAGGAACGAAACGGGTGATGTGTGTGCCGAAATGGGCCTTGGGACGCATGCGGGCCCTACCGCTGGGGCCTTCGGTGGAGCCCTTTCGGAGGCAAGTTTCTAAGCTGGTGCACCCACTGGACTGAAGCTAGCATGCGCGCTCCCGCCCAGTTCGGCACCGGTCACCGATCGCCCCCTGAGAAAGCTGACTTGTGGGCCCAGCGCGGGAGAATTCACGTGCGGGCCCCCACCCATTTCGACACGCACCCGCCACACGGATCGCGCCCTACAGGGAGCTCCGCATGTGGTGCCCCAGTGGGCTCGCCCGCGTGCGAGGCCCCGCCCATTTCGGCAGACTCATCACTCCGATTGCTCCGTAGGCCCGATGGGGAGCTCCGCCTGCGGCACCTGTGGGCGCGCCCGCATGGGCCTTCGCTGCTTCCAGCACATCCTGACTTGTTTCTGTCAGACGCACCTGTCATGGGGCAAGGGTAAGTCAGCATACAATCGGGAAACAAGATCGAACCGATATCTGCGTCGGAGCGAGCTGCATCAGCACGCAGTCGGAATCGAAGCGGATCGCTTGCGCCAGGATGTCAAGCGGCGCCGTAACAGCATCGGGCCTCCTCGGATCGTGGGAATCTCGGGATCGAGTCGGATCGGGCCGCCCGTAGCCGCTAAGGGGATCGGATTGGTTTGTTCGGCATGGGCACAGTGGGGTTAGGCCCTTCGCCACGTCGATTCGTTTTGGGCGCGCCTCTACCGCGCGACGTGGAAGGATCGTCCATCCTGCGCGCTGCTCTCCTGTTCGCCCCACAGCCCCATCACGGCTCCAAGTCGATGCGGAACGGCTGACATTGGAAAAGCACCCAAGAGGCGCACGAGGAGCTGTCCTCCGAGGCCCTGGGAAGCCAGCGAGAACGTGGTGATCGACGTGTTGGGCCTTGAAACAACCACTGTCAGCGTCAGATGCCCGCAGGAGAGGTCACGCACCTCCAGGAGCTCGACGATCGCCGAAGACAGCCCCAAGAGAGCCCACGAACCTCCCAAGGCTGCCCAAGACCGCCCAGGGACGGCCTCCAAGGTGTCCTGGCATCCGACCAGGTGGGCCCGAAGGGGTCTCCACGAGCCGGCTCAGGAGAGAGCGCTCCCAAGACGGACACGAGAACCCCGCCGAGGCCACAGGGAGGCCCTCCGAAGCCCCCCTGGATGGGGAGGGGCAGAACAGGGTACCGATTCAGATCCTCCATAGAGCTCTTCCCAAGGGCGCCTCACTTCGCGCTTCGCGCTGCGCGAAGCGCGAATAAGTTCGCGCGTTCGCGCCGCCCCCCAGGAGAGAAGAAGAGGATGAGGAGGAATCGGCGCCGAACCGCGAAGCGCGAAGCGCGAGTCACTTCGCGCCCTCGAGGGCGCCCTTGTTTTCCGGGGTGCGTGATATCCAGGGGGTCGAGGCGAAACCAGCCGTGGCGACGAGGGCTCTCCAGGACGAGCAGCGGTACCGGGGCCACCGAGAGAAGCCCCCCCGGACGGGCACAAATGAGGAGGAATGAAGAGGAGGAGGAGGAGGAGGAGGAGGAGGAGGAGCGAGGAGCGAGCCCAATGATCCCTCCCAGGACCTCCCCAGAAGGTGTTGGAGGGCGCCAGCTACACACCTGCACCGATCCTGACCAGGCCCATCCTGGGCCCACGATCGAGGAATGCCCCTGTCCTGCCTTGGCGAGGAAGGCATCTACAGATCAAACAATTATCCCAGTGCGACCCTACCTAGGAGTTGGAACCCCTAGGAAAGCAGCATTAGTAGTAACAGTAACGCTAAGCTAAAGCTAAGCTAAAGCTAAGCTAAAACTAAGCTAAAGCTAAGCCACAGCTAAGCTAAAGCTAAGCTAAAGCTAAGCTAAAGACAAGCTAAAGCTAAGCTAAAGCTAAGCTAAAGCTGAGCAACAGCTAAGCTAAAGCTAAGCTACAGCTAAGCTAAAGCTAAGCTAAAGCTAAGCTAAAGCTAAGCCACAGCTAAGCTAAAGCTAAGCTCAAGCTAAGCTAAAGACAAGCTAAAGCTAAGCTAAAACGAAGCTAAACGCTAAGCGAAAAGCTAAGCGAAACGCTAAGCGAAACGCTAAGCTAAAGCTAAGCTACAGCTAACCTAAAGCTAAGCTAAAGCTAAGCTAAAGCTAAAGCTAAAGCTAAAGCTAAAGCTAAAGCTCCCAGGGGACTGGGGGGAACCGCTCCCAGGGGACTGGGGGAACCGCCCGGGGCGCTTTGCACTGCCCGGCCCCTTTAAGCTAAGAGAGTAAGAACCCTTCTAGGCAGAGCCTAGGTAGGGAGTGATATAAGTATTTAATATATGTATATAATATGGCACACGCACGTGTGTATATATATATATATACATAGGTGTACATATATATATATATACGCATGCATATGCATGCAGACATGCATACATGCGTACATGCATACCTGCATGCATGCATACCTGCATCCATGCATACCTGCATCCATCCATGCTACATGCATACAGACAGACAGACGGACAGACAAACAGACAGACAAACAGACAGACATGCATACGTTCATGCATACGTACACACATACATACATACATAGCTGCAAACATACATGACTAGACATATAGACATGCCTGCATGCATGCATACATACATACATACATAAATACATACATACATACATACATGCATGCATGCATGCATGCATGCATGCATACATGCATGCATGCATGCATACACACATACATACATACAGACAGACAGCTACCGATCCTGGACACAATATCGGCCTGGCCAAAATCGGTGTATATGTACAATGTGCGCCCTCCGAAGGTAACGCGGCAACCATGCAAGATGTTGGCCCCGCCACCGCTTCTGCGTGGCAGCGCTTCCTTCTTCTCAAACGGTCCCAAGTAGGGTGTGATGAGTCTTTTCGGTAAAGCTTGGCATAACCATTACTGAAAGACGGTATATCTGCACGAACCTACTATAGACACATGGGAGTGCAATATTGCTATGAGTGGTATTGGGGCACATGTTGCTTCGACCGTTGAGGATCCAAAGGAGTCCAGAGTTTCTGTGGGTCCATGAAGCCATCTGGGGACGAGAAATACCCGTGGGGCACCTGATGGCAAGTCGATGTCTGGTTCAACGATTTTTCTGTTTACTGTAACCATTGTCCGGACGTGGCAAATCTGCATCAGCGCACATGTTCATAGGTCCGCGCAGGTCTTCGAACAAGTGTGTGTGTGTATGCTGGCGTGTTTTCGAGTTCTGCCCTTCCTTTGAACGATGTTTGGACACGGTGCCAGAATTTGACGCAGGCAGCTGGACAAACTGGCAAGGAGGAAAATCCCTTCGCTGCTGGGCGCCACACCTCGAGAGTCCAGACTGCCTTAAAACTCGAAGCTCCAAAGAGCTACGGGCCGCATCCGTCGTTGATCTCCAGCAGCCGCGGCCTTCTCTGGAGGCCGTCGGCGTGGGCTGTCAGGCGGTGGCCCTCCAGGCAGCTTCTCGTGACTGGGCACGCCTGGTGGCAAAGACCCGCCAGCTGCAGGGTGGACCAGCATCCGTCCGTTCACGGTCCGACTGCACGTAAATAGTGACCCTACTCCAAAATAAGCGTTAATTTGGGGGGCGTCACCCCCGCCGACAGCCCCACATCGACCCCCGTCGCGGGCAGCCACCGCGCGCCAAAGGCGCTCCGACCCCCGTCGCGGCGCGACGACGAGGCGAGGTTGACCCCTGTCGGAAGGGGTACCCCCCCACGCTTATTAAGAAACCCAAAGTAGGCAAGGAGTGAACTAGGTGGGCGGCGTTCCGATCGCTGCATGCACTGCGACAACAGCGCTGGCCCGCGTGCCGAAGTCTGCCCCCCCCCCGCGCGTTTCCACGGAGAGTCGTGCACCAAAGGTTGCCTCCGGCGAAGCCACTCCCACTTGTAGCCGCACGGTGCCATGAATTCAGCCTCGAATCCTGCCACTGCGCTGCGAGAGACGATAAAGGGCAATCGGATCAGGGGGCACAAGGAGCACGGGGATCGGCGATACATCACCGACAGATCGGCGATATACCCCCGATAGCCAATCCAGACGTTCCCGGGCGGGGCGGTCATTCGGACCACTGTCGGCGATGAATGGGCGATTGGGGGTCGATGCGTACCCACCTGTGCCCATCCCCGTCCACAGTGGTCTTCGGACAGTAGTTCGGGCCTCCGGCGGCCGTTCAGGACGATCCGAGGCGGAGCTGCTAGAAAGCATCCCGAGACGGGAAACCAGATGGGAACCGTCGAAAACTTCTGCACTCCCAAAACCCATGGGACAATCGAAGACCCCCTGGCGTTGCCCCTGAATGGAGGAAGAATCATGACCACGATGGAAACCACCGCAACCGCAAGTTCACAAAAAGATTCCAGGACGGGCGCAATCCCAAATTTACATGGCAGCGTTTCGCACTTGCACTCACGGTTCACTCTGCACTGCGCGCAGCGCATGCAATTACACGCGCCTGCGCCTTGCAAACATCACCCCAGGAACCATCTTAATAACACCAAAGGTGACCTGTGGGACCTGCGGGACCTGTGGAACCTGCCGGAATTGGGAGAAATGTTGGGAGCGTGAGCCCTGTGGAACTTGTGGGAGCTGTGCGGGCTGCGGTAGCTGTGGGACCTGAGGGACCTGCGAGACCTGTGGGGCCCTTGGGACCTGTGGGACGCGTGAGCCTGGTGGGACCTGTGGGGCCTTCGAAATTGCAAAACTTGTCGTCCCTGCGAGACCTGTGGGACCTGTGGGACCTGCGGGGCTTGCGCCACCTGCGACACCTGCCTGACCTGTCGGACCTGTAGGACCTGAGGGACTCGTAGGACCTGTGGGACCTGCAGGACCTGCGATACCAGTGGGACCTGTGGCGCCTGTGGCACCTGTAGGCCCCGTGGGACCTGCGGAACTTGCGGGGCCTGCGGGACCGGCGCGACATGTGGGACCTGTGGGACCTGTGGGACCGGAGGGGCTGGGTGGACCTGTGGGGCCTGTGGGACCTGTAGGGCCTGAGGGGCCTGTGGGGCATGCGTCGCCTGTGGGACGTGTGGGACATGCGGGACCTGCGCGACCTGCGAAACCTGTGGGACCTGCGGGTCCTGCGGAACCTGCGGGACCTGCGGACCCCGTGGCCCTTGTAGGACCTGTAAGCCCTATCGGGCCTGTGGGACCTGTGGGGCCTTCGGGGCATGTGGGACCTGGGGGGACTGGGACTTGCGGGGCCTGCGGGACTTGCCAGACCTACGAGGCCTGCGGGGCTTGCGGGACTTGTAGGACCTGTGGGACATGTGGGGCATGTGGGACTTGTGGGACATGTGGGATATGCTGGGCCTGCGGGATTTGTGGGACCTGCGCGACCTGCGGGACTTGTGGGACTCGTGGGACCTGTGCTGGCGGCGGGACCTGTCGGACCTGCGGGACCTGTGGGACCCGGGGGGCCTGTGGGACCTGTGGGACCTGAGGGACCTGGGAGACCTGCGGAACCTGTGGGACCTGTGAGAGCTGCGGGACCTGCGGGACATGTGCGACCGGTGGACCTGCGAGAACCTGTGAAACCTGTGGGGTCATTCATACCTGTGGGACCTGTGGCACCTGCGGACCTGCGGGACCTGCGGGTCCTGTGGGACCTGTTGGACCTATGGGTCCTCTGGGACCTACGGGACCTGTGGGAATTGCGGGACATGCGGGACCTGCGAGACCTTTAAAACCTGTAAGACCCGTGGGGCCTGCGGAACCTGTGGGACGTGCGGGACCTGCATGTGGGACCTGTGGGACCTGCGGGGCCTGCGGGGCCTATGGAGTATGCGGGACTGGCGGGTCCTGCGCGACCTGCGAGACCTGTGGGAAATACGGACCCTGTGGATCCTGTGGGGCCTGCGGGACCTGTGGGGCTTGTGGGACCTGTAGGACCTGTGGGACCTGTGGGACCCAGTGGGACCTGCGGGACCTGCGGGGCCTGCGGGGCCTGCAGGACCTGCGAGACCTGCGCGACACGCGGGACCTGCGGAACCTGCGGAACCTATGGGACATGTGAAACATGTGGGACCTGTGGGGCCTGTGGGACCTGTGGGGCCCGCGAGGCCTGTGGGACCCTTGGGACCTGTGGGACGTGTGGGACCTGTAGGACCTGCGAGACCTGTGGGACCTTTGGCACCTTCTTTGCGACTTGTGGGTCCTGTGGGACCTGTAAGACCTGTAGGACCTGTGGGACCTGTGGGACCTGCGGGACCTGTGACACCTGCAAGACCTTGGGACCGGTGGGATCTGTTGGGCCTGAGGGACCTGTGGGACCTGTGGGACCTGCGGGACCTGCGGGACCTCCGGGACCTGTGGCACCTGTGGCACCTGTGCGGCCTGTGGGACCTGCGGGACCTGCGGGACCTGCGGGACCGGCGAGACCTTCGAGACCTGCGGGACCCGTGGGACCTATGGGACCTGTGGGACATCTGGGACACGTGGGACCTGTGGAACCTGTGGGACCTGTGACCGCCGAGGACCCAAGTAAGGCCCTGAATTCTGGGACCGCCAGGCACCCAAGTAAGGACCTTACTTGGGACCCCGGGAATTCCTTATTAAATTTGGTGGATCGACAGATGTCTCGCACTTTGGGACCATCGAGGCCCCCCGGGGGGCATTTATTAAGGAACCAGAAGTTTCCTTACGTCCACCATGTTTTCTTGGAGCGGAAAGACCCAAAGTTCAAACGTCCCGGCGTGGCCGTCGGAGGCCCCCAACCAGCCACCCAGCTTGGAAACGCGCGGCAAATGTTTCGCCGAGGCTGAACGCGACTCTGCTGCCGTCGCCACCGTAGCTGCACTGCATCCGGTGATCCACTGGCCTCAGGGCCCCGAAGAATAAGCCTCCTAGCGGTGTCCTGACGACCTCCTGGAATCTGGGGGGAGACCGCCGGGGAACCTCCCCTGGTCCTCTTAGGGGCCTCCCGCAAACTTCCAGAAGGGGTCTGGGAGGTCTCCCAAAAGATTTTTCTGGTCCTTGCAAGCCTGCTGGGAATCCTCCCCGAGGACCAGGGTCCGGGAGCCCCCCCCAGACTTCGAAATCTGGCAGGGCTCCCTCCAAGGGGAAACTTCCGGGGAGACCAGGGGAGGCCCCCTGGAAACCTCCCCTGGTCCTCCCGGGCCGCTGGGGGGAAACTTGGTGGAGGACCAGGTGAGGTCTCCTGGAAGCTTCCCTGGTCCTCCCGAAAGCCTCCCACAGGAGACCCCCCCCCCTGCGGGAACTCTCATCGGAGGCTTCCAGGTGAACCAGGGGAAGCCTCCCAGAGACCTCCCCTGGTCGTCCCTGAAGCCTGGGGGAGGCCTCGCCTGGTGCTCCCAGGGGCCGTGGGAAGCGTCTCGCCACACCTTGTGGAAACCAAGGGAAGCCTCCGGAAGGCCTCCCCGGGCCTCCCCAAGCCCTCGGGGGGATCAGGGGGAGGTCTCCAGGAGAACCAGGGAGGAAGTCTGGTGGAGGCCCCCTCCACCTCGCCGGAGGAGGGCCCGCTGGGAGGTCTGGTCGACGTGGAAGGGGGGCATCCCACCAGACCTGTTGGAGGTGGAAGGGAGGTCTGGTACCAGACCTAGTGGGGTTGGGGGTAACTGAAGACCCAACCCAGGCAAAGCAAGAAAACCAGCATGGAGGCGAACGCGGCCCAAGACGGCACCAAGATACCCCCCAGGCAACTCACGACGGCCCAAGAGGGCCCCTAATGTCCCAGGTAGCCCCATATACGACTCAAGAGTGTCCCAGGAGGCCCCCATGACAACCCGACAGTAACCCATGACATACCACATGTTGTCCATGTGTGCCACGTGAGAACCCCAGGAGACGCAATAATGAGACAAGGAGAACGAAATGGAAGAAGGGAGGGTGACAACATGGGGGACGTGGGAAGGGGGAGGGCGACGACGTAGACGAAGGAGTGCGCCCCGAAGCGGCGCGGAAGAGCGCGTCACATGTTGCGGCCCTTGCAAGGCTATGGGCGACGACATGTCGCGCGTTATGGCTTTCGTGGCGGTGCTCGAAGACTCGCCACGCCGAGTGCTGCGCGGTCGCGGTGCGCGGGACTTGCCGCGAACAGATCGGCATGACGCACGCGCCGTGGTTTCTACCACAACCGCGCGACGCGTATGATTTGTCAACAATGTCGCGCCCTCCACGAGCGGACCGGGCCCTCCACCTTGAGACGTGCGCAATAAAACACCATCAAAACATAATGCGAGTGGACGAGGGGGAAAGCAACCAGAAGAGGTCGCGCGAAAGGTGGACAACAAATGAACAATGCTCACAAAAAAATCACATGCGCAAGCGCCCAACGAAACAAACTTATAGACACTCCAACAATTTGGCGTGCCGCGAAGAAGGGAAAAGGGGCGGGGGGCCCGCGTGCCCACGAGGAACAAACTTAACGGCATGGTAATCGCTACTGGACACGCCGTCACGCAGAGCCGCTCTGACAACACACACGCACACGGGCGCATCATCGCGCAAAAGCGGCCGAACCACGCCGCGCGAAGCATCGCTGCGCCAAGGCGATCCGCCCATGCAAAACACGCGCAAATGGCATCCGAAAAGAGCGTTACGCGCCGCGCAAACAAATATGGCGCGGTGCCGCAACAATCAGGCGGCTACGAATGTAAACTCCTCTGAACTGCGCGCACGCGCGTCGTGTTAAACAGGCCGCGCCGCGCAGGCACGCCACTCGGTCTCGCGCCAGCACGTCGAAGGGAAGGTCTGCGGGAGACGCTCTGCAAGTGGCAATGAAGCAACCCCACGAGAACGCGATACATGTGAAATCGAAGCACGTGCCAACAGTAACCGCGACAACAGAACAACCAAC